GCTAAACATTATCCAAGCTTTACTGATGTTTGTTATCCTTTAAAACTTCACCAGTGATAGAGTTTAACCCATATGAGGGCAAACTTTTAACCAAGTTCGGGGGTAGGAGAAAAAGGGGCGAGAAGTTGAGGCTTGATACATAACCATGTGGAATTACAAAAAAAAAACCTAAAGAGTACTAAATCTTACAACTTGCCTCCCGAAACCTGAAAATTTACAAGATCCCTTGTAAAGTAAAAAATTGTAAACCACCACCAAACAATTATAAAATTACAAAAACATCCTTAATAATGTAAAACTTAGTAAAAATCACAAAAATTCTGAAAAATTCAAAACTAAAGGAAAACACCAAAATTTTCAAAACATACAAATAGCACCCTTACAAACCTAAAATTTGCAGAAAACAACCTGAAAGTTATGAAAATTGCAAAAACACACCAAAATTTTGAAATTTACAAAAAACCTAAAAATTTTCAAAACGTACAAACAGTATATTTAAATTATAGGAACTCCAAACAGCCTCCTGAAAATTGAAATTTGTAGAAAACACCCTGAAAGTTTTGCAAATTGCAAAAAACACCCTCAAATTTCAAGTTTTAGAAAAACGCCATATAAATTTCAATTCTACAAACAGTGCACTGAAAATATAGGAATTAAAAACAGATCCCAAAAATTTAGAATTTGCAAAAAACACTCATACTTCAAAATTTACAAAAAAACACCTTGAAAAATTCAAGGTTACAAAAAGTATAATGATAATATAGAATTACAAACAACCCACTGAAAATTTGAACTTTGCACAGAACACCCCAAAAGTTTCAAAAATTGCAAAATCACCCTCAAAAACTAAAAATTTACAAAAAAACCACTGAAAATTTCAAAGATATAAATAGTAAAATAAAAATTTTATAAATTTGAAATTTGTGAAGAACTCCCTCAAAGTTTAGAAAGTTGCAAAAATACCCTAAAAGTTTAGAAAATTGCAAAAAACACCTTTGAAAAATCAAAAGTTATAAAAAATAATTGTCTGTATGTTCTGATCTTCTCAAGGTGTTTTCTGTAAGTTTTAAATCTTTGAGGAAGTTTTTTCGCAATTTTGAAACTTCCCGAGTGTTTTTAGCAAATTCCAAAATTTTCAGGGATGTTTGTAATCCAATATTGTCAATGTAATTTTTTTATAGGCTTGAAATTTTTAGGTTTTTTCAGTAATTTTTGAATTTGTTACGGTGTTTTCTACAATTTTTGAAACATCCAGGGTGTTTTCTGTAATTTTTGAATTGTGCAGGAGGCCTTTTATAATTGTAAGTTTTTGAGAAGGTAGTTTATAATTTAAATATTTTGAGGGGGCTTTTTGTAGTTAATACATTTTGAGTTGAGAGTGGTAGAGATCCTTGTGTGTTAAATCAATGTTAATCCTTATGACATGTTATACCAAACACAAGAATGTTTCCCCCACTAATTGTTCTAGGATAATAATTACCATGTTAAAGATTAGTCCTGATTGCTTTAACCTCATGCCAAACGAGTCCTAAATATTAAAGTTAGAAACACCTTTTCTCCATGTGATGTACATGTACTGATATGTCATCTATTTTGTATCTCTATGTATGAATATATATATATGTGTGTGTGCATTGTCCATTATTATTTGTATTGTAAGGTAACACAATCATGCTCACGTGCAGACACATGCTTGTCTAAGTGTATGCATGAATGTGTATGACTAACATGTCCATACTTGCAAGAATTTTATTGTGTGGGATGGCACATGCAATTGCTTGTTCAGAAAAAAAAAAACTATTCAGGGTTAAGCTCCTCCCCTCGAAATTATTCCCTAATTCTTCTTCTGAAAGATCTAATAAACTTTTAAACTATGCTCAACTAAGTACTAATTACTCTGTTTATGTAATAGGTAAAGCTGCAGTTCAAGTACATGGGGAAAAATTGGTTTCGCTCTTCCATCACCTGCTAGTGTTTACAACAAGTTAAAAAAAGTAGTTTTTAGCCTCTCAGGCTGAACCTCAGTTAAGCATTTTAACCTATTTGAATATCTACATAGGATATACTAATGGATCCTCTTGCATTACATCATTAATGAGTTTGTATGAACCCCATTCTTTTTTCCTCGAGTAACCTAAAAACTGAGTAGGTAATCCCATTTAAAAAAAAGTACACATGCAATGCAAGATGCAGAACAGAGCTAGAATGTTTCATAGTTTAAAGGGTGAGTCGCTACTTCCAAGAGGAGGTTTATCAGTTGAAATATTGAGAGTACATAAAGGGAATCACAGGAACATAATTAAGATAATGAAAAATCTTACCGTGGCGAGCTTTCTGTTCTATACAATCCCAAAAGAGGTTGCTAATTCAAGTTACTGTACCTTTAGTCGACATATTTTGGCTAAAGGCTTGTTTAATCTACCAGCATGATAGAGAGATGAGGGAGAGCATTCCTAAGCTCTTAAGCAAGGTACTAAAGAGAATAAAGTTCACAATTTTCCATATCCTTCGCGGCTATGACCTATGTTTCATAGGTATTTGACAGAGACATACTGGCATACGTTATGTATCCGATAGTTGAATATTTTGATGTTTAATGGATACGTGTCAGATAAACCTTTTGACATGTCCCATAATTGCAGCCTATCTTAGATGCATCAAAGGCATTATAGACATGTTCAAGATTAGAATTTTTTTTGTATGCATTAACAATGGACTCATAAAATTGTAATTATAATAATTCTATATAATTTTTCTCTCATATGTGGATGTCTATGTAGAAATTTAATTATATCCTTAGCATACGAATAGCGTAGCTTTTAAATGTTTGTATCAGTGTCCATATCGTATATTATGTGTATCCTTTATTACATTTATAGGCTATGCAGAGCCTTTAACCCATATTTATGAGGCTAAACAAAATTTCAACTATATCTAAAATTTAATAATTCTAATATTACATTCTCATGGCCGCATATGACCTGAATAGTCAATTAACTGATGGTATTGTTTTGAGTTCTGGAAAGGACTCAAATTTGTGTTCCTTGCAGACCTATCCCATTATGGCAAAAGATAAGAGCAATGTTGAAAATAGCGATAACGCATAGCGTAACGCTTACCTCCGGTTAGGTTACAATAGCAATAACGCATAGCGTAACGTAGGTTAAATAATTTATTATTATTTAAATAATTTATAGATATATAACATTCAAAATAGAAAATATGAATAATCATCGCAATTCTTAATTTCACAAATCAATATATGATCACAATTTCACAACAAAATCAACTGTGTTTGCCTTAACGATCAATCCAAAGGCGAAATTCGACGATAGATCAATAACTAACCGAAACCTAACATCGTGTGTTCCTGCCAAATAGATCAAATTTCTCACGCTAATCATGTTAAAGAGTAAAACAATGGCAACTTCAGGGAACAAGTCAAGCTCACCCTTTCACACATATTAATTTTTATGGCTTTAAGTGTGAAACATAGTCTGATTATCAGTATTCAAGATTGTATTATGTATTTACCTTGCTAATTTCAGAAGTTGAATGGCGGGAGAGGACGACGATGTCGAAAGGGGCGGCGGAAGACGACGATGACAGCAAGAGTTAGGGTTTTGTTAGAATTTAATAACTTATGAGAAGTGGGAGAGTCAATCACAGCCCTTGAATAATTTTAAAAGCAATCCAAACTATTAAACAAAATAACCTACGTTACAAAACGCCACGACGCTACGTTACGTAGCTTACGCTATGGCTAAAATAGCGCACGTTATTTTATGCGTGCGCTATTTGAAAACGCTATGTAGTGTTAGGTTAACGCTACGTTACGTTAAGCGCTATTTTGCGCTACGAAACGCGCTATTTTCTACACTGGATAAGATATAAGATGTCTAAAATATGCATATGTAACCAGTAAGAATAAGACTATTAATTCTTATCAAATAGAAATACGGGTTCCAAGCTAAATATATTTACCGCTGCGTTGAATACAATACCAGCCAGTTGAGAATATGACTGCAACCAGCTCAAGTAACATTTATCAGAAGGAAGAAAGACCAGAAACTTGACGAAACTTCTCATAAGAAACCCAGAATACAAATTGCCAAGGACCGAGCCTGGCCCATGTAGGAAAGAAACCCTTCCACAATGCCATCACACCTTCCAACTTCACAGTTTTCACCAGACAATCATAAGAATTCCGATAAACAGTCCTGGATTCCCCTTTACCCACAGCTTGATTCATCATTCTAGTCTTTATCACATCGGCTGGGCAACTAAGTGCGGTTGCAGAGAGACCAGAAGCAACAGATGCCAAAGTGTGGGCAAAACTATTATCACCACAAATTTGATGATTTATGATGAAATGCTTGGCTTGGTCATAGCAAGTCAGTTCCCCCATGTTGACAAGGAATGCTCTTTGAGCATTAGGAAGTACCCCTCTCCAGAGTCCTTGGAAGCCTTCTGTCTGGATTATCTTTTTAAATGCATCAAAAATCCCTGAATATCGGGGTTGGAGACCTTGACTTAGCATACGGCCATCTGCTTGCATCCTTACTTTTATAAGGTCAGCTGGGCTAGCTACGACCTGCACTCTAAAGATATAAGAGTTACAGCAGAATGGATAACTTGGTACAAGAAGATGGGCAATAAAAGCAAGAAGTTATTAGAACTTGGAAGCTTCTCTACAAACATCAAACAGTTTCTCTTAACATACTGTGCATATTTGCATGTTTGGGTTCACTAGCACAAGAACATGAACATATACACAACTGCATGCGTGAGCATTGACATGTTGCTTACAAAGACAAGAAGGCATAAACAAACATGAGATAGAAGCTTAAGAACTTCCTGCTTTATGCCTGAAGAAAGGAAGAGATTGAAAGTGCAGACACGAATATACATATCCAGAAGCATCTATGCTCATAGATCCATATGATTGCATGAGGTGCATCCATGCGCGCATGCATGCTATACGCGACTTTTCTAGTTGTAAAGGTTTTGCAGAAGAAATTTCTTTCTATATTTGATGTTGCCAAGAAATATAAACATGTATATGCAGGTAAAAGATAATTCGGACACCAATATAGATTATAGCTCAAATTTAACGAAAAGCTGAGGTTTTGGATTTCTATCTTAGTGATCATCATCACATGAATTATGTACATACAGACAGAAACTATTAAAATGCATCAAAATTCAAAACTATTGCATCTTTATTTACATATTTTATGCCTGAAACAAAGCTACAGATTGAAAGTACAGATATGCCTCTACAAATCCAGGAGCATATATGCTCACAGAGCTATATGATTGCAAGAGGTGCATTCATGCGCGCGTGCATACTACACGGGACCTTTCTATCCGAGAAGGCTTTGCAAAAGGAATGTGTTCCTATAGTTCTCACTTCGTGGGAAACAATTGAAAAAAAAAATATAAACTTGTACGTACACTTGCGGAGGTAAAAGATAATTTGGACGTCAATACAGATTATAGCCCAAATTTCACGACAGTCTGATAATTTGGAGTTCTACTGACCTGTTCATCATCAAATGGACTGTGTAAATGCATACAGAAACTATTTTGCACCGTCCTACGGAGCTAGACCTGAAACAGAAGAGGCTACTCGTCTCTATTTAAATGTTTCCATACAAATTGAAGAACGAAATAAGAACAGAAGTATTAGCATATGAGACATCCTACAATTGTTAAACAAAACATTTAATAAGATAGCCTAATGCTTTCACTCCGTCTACGCTAAGTAAAGTTAGGGGCCAATCGGAAAAGAAAGCCAAAACCCAATAAGGATCTTGAATTTTTCGTGTCATTTGGAGTCTATAAAAAACCCATACTCATATGATAAAAAAAATTTAAAAAAAAAAGGCCGTTTACATTAACAAAATTAAAAAAATGGTGTACCTGAGCAACAACCCCAGAAGACCCACCAGCGACCGCCTTCTCGATCGCCGAGTCCCCAGCAACGCTCCTGAGCTGCTCATACCCAACAATCCTCATCGGGGTGTAGAACAGATGGCGGAGGATCGCAGGCGAGAGCCCCCTGTAGAACCCCAGAACCCCGCCCTCGCGCCAGATCCCGGAGGCGACCGACCGGATCGGAGCGGCGACGGGATCCGCCGTGGAGCTGGAGTCGGGTTTTGGTGATGTCGATGGGGTAAGTTGCGGCCTCGGCCGCCGCTGCTGACAGGGAGGGAGGGCGATCTTGGTGGTGGTGTCCCCCATGTGGCTTTTTAGTTGAACAGCCCCCCACAGCATAACCGCTGCTTCCGTCCTTAAGGGCTGTTTGGTTGGTTTCATTCATATTTGGAAATGCAATTCTACGTAAATCGATATAATTTATTTTGAGTTTTCCAAACTTTTCTAAGAAATAAATTGTTTTGGTTTGGTTTGCACAGAAAAAAAGATAAGAAACTAATGTATTTACTTTTATTGTGTTTGGTTTGCATAAGAAAAAATAGAAAATTTTTGTTGATTTGACATTTCCCACTTTTCTTGTGTTTGGTTGGTTTTGAAGTGTATAGGGAAAAGTGTTTAGGGTCGCCATGGTAAGATTACCCCTCACTATAGATAAATTAATTTGTGCTTGTTATGGGATGTAATATTAATCATATAAAAGTGCGAATGTAACATGAACAAATAATAATATCCCGAATGAATTATAAATTTCTGTTTGTATTAATGAAATCATAAAAAACCTGAAATCATACGAAACCTAATGTAACATGAACTGCGTGCCTGATTTTGACTTGAAATATACCTGTTTGAGATGAAAATAATCACACGAAACCTGTTTTCCAAGAAAAAATAAACAAGACCTCTCACAAACATGAACACAACCAGGCTCACAAAACTGGTCATATGTGCACAAAACAGAACAGAGCAGGTCACAAACCTGAACACAACCAGGCTCACAAATAGCAAGGACAAAACAGACCAAACCTGAACAAATAGAACAACCACGTGCACAAAAACACAAAACTGAGCACAAACAAGATCAAACTTGGCTGAACACAAAATCCACAAACACAAAACTGAGCACAAACAAGATCAAACCTGGCTGAGCACAAAAACTGGTCATATGTGCACAAAACAGTCCACAAATAGTATGGACAAAACAGACCAAACCTTAACAAAACCTAGCTCCACAAAACCGGTCATATGTGCACATAACCTGGCGAAGAACAAACCTGAATAAAATAGCATCCACAAACAGAACATGGCAGATTTTGAACAAAACAACATCCACAAATCACAACAGGACATAACCTGACCACAACCAGGCTCCACAAAACTGAAAGATCAAGACATGAACACAACCAGGTGGAGAAGTGTCCTCATCAAATGCCCACAAATGTGGTATGATAATATTTATCCCCACAAACTTAAATATAGCATAAGTTTGCACACAAAATCTCACCATAAGTTTGCACACAAAATCTCACCAAGGAAATGTTTGTGTTCAGGTAAATGCATATTACCGCTTAGGGCTCAGAAATTCGTTAATATCATCATTATTAGCCATCTAGTGCAATTTCAAAAGATATTGCAGGTTGCTAATCTCAGAAATTTTGACAATCATCATCGTCTAAAAGTAAAAAAGTCACCAATGTAAACTAGTTTCATGAAAACTTACTACACAAATAACCCATAGCTGTAGCCATCCAGTACAATGTTTGCACATTGTAGGTTGCTTGCATCTTAGGAAATTGTATGGTGAGTTATAAATATCCTACAGTCACAAGTTTATTTCAAAAGGTTAGTACACCACAAATTTCACAACATGAAAGGTAATATTACAAAATGGAAGCCAATAACTACTTACTACAATATTACAATAATATGTTCCATCGTCATGATGTTCCATCGACTAATCTATGTATCTGTAGACGATTATGTTTTCGGTGAAAGTCGGTGTTTTCATTGCTTTTGAATCTGTTACAACTTCAAACGTTACAACAAGAATGCAACCAAAACAAAGATTACAACTTTATCGAAAATAAACACGAGATCCCGTTTTGGTGCGGTCTCGCTTGCGTGGGTCTTTGGCTTGTGACGGGGATGTTGATATCCGTGGACCACCGGGGCAATCAGATCCGGTCCGGATAAATCGGACAGAGTTTCGTCGATCCGCGTGAGATCTAGAAACTTCTAATCCAGAAATATCGGACAGAACTTCGTCGATCCGCGTGAGATCTAGAAGTTATAAGCGTATACCTCGGCTAAAGCGAGGTATTAGCTCTTCTTAGTATTAACGCTAAAGGCTAATACTAAGGAAAGATGAGAACGGGTGATGAAGGCTGATTTAGACCTCTCCTCCTCGGTTGAAGTGCTCGATCACTGTTTGCTGCAGCAGGGCTTCGCCGAGGCTCTCCAAAAATCCAGATCCTTCCAAATGAGGTAAGGGGGTCCTATTTATAGGAAACCAAGAGGGGGGGCGTCCGCACAGATCTAGGACACCCCAGGGGTGTCCGCACAGATCTGGGACACCCTTGGGGTGTCTCCAAAAATCCGAGACACCCCTAGGGTGTCTCGGAAATTCCGAGACACCCTTGGGGTGTCTCGGAAATTCCGAGACACCCCTAGGGGTGTCTCGGAAAATCCGAGACACCCCTAGGGTGTCTCGGAAATTCCGAGACGTCCGGTAGGTGTATTTTGATCGTTTCCCCGTAGATTCTTCGTACGAACTCGGATTTGAGTGATTCCGGCTGTGCGTTGGATGCGTGACGAAGAGTTCGATCCGCTCTGATGATTGGATTGTTCTTTAGAGTGGCTCGCAGGTACAGAGGGCCTTGTCCTTTCTGTGAGCAGTGCCGGGCTTCCCGATTGGCGGGTCTTCGGTGATTCCGAAGTCCTATCTGCTCACGTAACTCGTCGATTCACTTCAGTCGTTCCGTCGACGTCGATTAGGCTCATGTTGATTGTGATGGTGACGTTCATCGTCGCTCGTTAACACTGAACCGCGTTGTGGAGACCTATAGGCAATTTTTGATGCCTACAGATACCCCCTCCAAAGTGTTCCTGACTCGTTTCTTTTATAGAAGAGGCTGGAATACTTTGGATGTGATTCGGTCTAGCCTTCAGTCGGCATAAGGACCTGTAGTTAGCTTCAACTCTTGGCTCCTTCGATTTTCGGTCTATTCGATGCTTTGACGAATAGCCGAGGTTCTTCCGGCGCTGCGTTTATCGTCTGGCCGTCGTTGGAGTCTCGAGCTTGCAGCTGATGAATTGAGTTTGGCTCGTGTCACTGAGTTGACTTTGAACTACCTCTGCCACATTATGCTGGCTTAGGGTTTTGGATCACCGTGTGTTGACTTTTTGTCGCAACGCGTTGACCGGCGTTGACCTAGGGTTATGCGCTGACCGGCATTGACCCTTAGGGTTTTGAATCGTCAAACGTTGACTTTCGTCGCAACGCGCTGACTGGCGTTGACCTAGGGTTACGCGTCGACTGGCGTTGCCCTTAGGGTTTCGGATTGTCAAACGTTGACTTTTGTCGCAACGCGTTGACCGGCGTTGACCTAGGGTTATGCGCTGACCGGCATTAACCCTTAGGGTTTTGATTCGTCAAACATTGACTTTTGGTGCAACCCGTTGACTAGGGTTGACCTAGGGTTATGCGCTGACCGGCATTGACCCTTAGGGTTTTGATTCGTCAAACATTGACCTTTGTCGCAACGTGTTGACCGGCGTTGACCTAGGGTTATGCGCTGACCAGCATTGACCCCTTAGGGTTTTGATTCGTCAAACATTGACTTTTGTCGCAACGTGTTGACTGGCGTTGACCTAGGGTTACGCGTTGACCGGCGTTGACCCTTAGGGTTTTGATTCATCAAAGGTTGATTGGTGTGGATTTTCATCCTCGAATGTTGACTTTTGTTGCAACGCGTTGACTGGCGTTGACCTAGGGTTACGCGTTGACCGGCGTCCACCCTAGGGTTTTGGTTCGTCAAAGGTTGACTTTTGGAGTTCATCAATATTTAACCATTGGCGAAGAATCGGAGTGTTTTGGGGTTTAAAAAACAATTTAGGGGTTCAAACAAAGTTTGGGGGGTCAAAACAGGTTCAAGACGCCCCGGGGGTGTCCCGACAAAACCGGGACACCCTGGGGTGTCTCGGCTTTGCCGAGACACCCTTGGGGTGTCTCGGTTTTGCCGAGACACCCCATGGGGGTGTCTTGGTTCGTGCCGAGACACCCCATGGGGGTGTCTTGCTTTTTTCATGGTCCCCCCCCCTTTTGTCTTTTTCTTCATTTTGTTTCCCCCCTCTTTGTTTTCTTTCTTGTTTGAATTTGTTTCCCCTTTTGTTTTCCCCCCTCTTTTCAAAAGAGAATTCATCTTCTTCCTCCAAACCTCCTCCATTGTTTTTCTTTCAAGAGCTCCATACCCCAAAGAAATTCGGTTTTTTGTATGCTCCTTTTTGGCTGAAAATTTTCACTTTTCACTAGGGTTTCTCCCTCCACCTTCAAGCTCGGATCTTGACTCTTGGATTGGGGATTTCAAGCCTCTTGATTTGGGTAAGCTCCTCTTCACCATCCTCTTATTTTGTGGTAAAGGTTGCATTTTTATTCTTGTAGTAGGTAAGGGTTTGTGTATGCACCATATTTTTTTGGGGGTTTTGTGCAAAAGAGGCAAGGTGGCCGAAATTTTGGAGGGTTTATTTGCAAAGTGACACTATGGCCGAAATCTTTTGAGGGGATTTTATGCAAAATTGCATTAGGGCCGAAATATTGAGGGGCTTTTATGCAAGATTACATTATGGCCGAAATCTTGGGAGGGGTTTTTTATGCAAAATTGCATTATGGCCGAAATCTTGAGGGGTTTTTATGCAAAAGAGGACTGAAATTAGGTCTTGGATTGTATGTCCACTTGGTTGAAAGTTTGGTGGGTGCTTTAGGCAAGAGGACCAAAAGTTGTGAGAGGGGTTTATTTGCAAAATTGGTTGAATTCTACAAAAGGGCTCATTTGTAAAATTAACCAACCTTGTGGGGGTACTGGGGGTGCTATATGATCAGCTATGATGACCATGACCCAACCGGGGCGTGTCTTTGACTTGAATTTTGGCCTTGAACACGAAGGGTATTTTGGGTATTCCACCAAAATTCACCGTGAAAGATGACAATCATCGTGCACGAAATTTGTAGGTTTAATTAGACTTCAATTATGAAATCCTATTTGTGTATAGGATTTTAATTAAAGTTCTTAATTTCCCTTTTAAATTTCGTATATTCATGTTTTAGATTGTACCTGACTTGCTG